TACTGTCAAGTCAGTTCAGACTCATAGTGACCTTGTACAGGGTTTCCAAGGAGCAGATGGTTGAGTTTGAACTGCCGATCTGTGGTTCTACCCAACCTTGTAGTCGAGTGCTTATCTTACGCATTGACCCAAATCTAGATCGCAGCTTGAGGTTTCCTATTTTAAGAATTTTTTACTTGTTTTCTCTGACACTTTCTCTTCACTTAATGCTAAGTGGAGTTCTGGTGTGGCGATGTGGGCAAATGCTCTGGACTGCAAAGTCGGCTTGAACAACAAGGCTGGCAGTTCAAGTGCACCAGCTACTTCTTGGAAGCCCTATATAGGGTCGCTGTGGGTCAGAAGTGACTCGACAGCACTTAACAACAATAATACTAAGTAAAAGACAGTTGTTGTGAGTTGATTCCAACTTATGCCAACCCTACATGTGCCAGAGTAGGACTGTGCTCCCTAGTGATTTAAATGGCTGTGATCTTATGGAAGTGGATTGCCAGGCCTTTCTTTGGAGGAACCTCTGGTGGATTTGAACCTCCAATCTTGCATAGCAGTCAGGGACTAATAATAATAAGTAAAAGGTCTATTGTTTGTTAAATGGTGGCGCCTTCTCTCTTGAGGTCTTCATGACTGGTTTGGCCTTACACTTCTTACATTCTTCCTTCTGTGTATATGTTAATGTAAAACATCTGGAAGTTAACAGAATCCTTTAAGCATAGGCAGACAGCTGCTAAAGTTAAGTGATGGTAACGACAGTACATCATTTCCTTTGCTTCTATAGGGTGTAGCATTTCTCCTTCATAAAATGCCTGCTGGCAATTACCTAAAAACTGCATTTAGGATAGGAGAGGCTGGAAATTCCTGTAATTAAGGATTAAACAGCTGTGCCTTTCATACTCGTGAACATGTAAGCAGTATATTCTTTAAATTGTATTTCTTGCAATACTAGGGATTCTTAACAAACCATTTCATATTCATCAATCTGATCCTTCATAGTTGTGCTACTTTTCTGAAGGGGTCTCATTTTATACTATTTTCCATCTCAGAACAAAGCTCTATTAAGCTAGTGCGTGGATTCTCAGGTGATTACTTATTCTACCACTCTGCGCTTAAAACAAGGAAAGACACGGTGGTTAAAGCGCTCAGTTGCTAATTGAAAGTTTGGCTGTTGAAACCCACTAGCTACTCCACTGGAGACAGGTGTGGCAGTCTGCTTCCATAGAGATTAAACCAAACCAAAAACCAAATGCACTGTCATTGTTGAGTTGCTTCTTATTCGTAGAAATCCTATATGACAGAACAGAACTTCCCCATAGGAGTCCTGGTGTGACACTGTGGGTTAATGTGTTGGACTGCAAAGTTAGTTTGAACCGAAAGATCGGTGGTTCAAGTTCACCAGTCGCTCCTCGGAAACCCTATACAGGGTTGCTATGAGTTGGAACCAACACGACGGCATTTAACAACAATCTTACAGAAACAGACAACCACGACTTTCCCCTGTGGAGCAGCTGGTAGGTTCTAACCTTTGACCATCAGTAGCTGAGCATTTTAATCACTGTGCGATCAGGACTCCTTCTCATAAAGATTACTCCTCATCCCCCCTTTCCCCGCAAGTCCCCCACAAAAACCACCACTGCCAATGCCACTGAGTTAATTCTGACTCAGACTGATTCTATATACAACTCCAAGACTGTAAATCTTTATGGGAGCAGACAGCTTCATCGTTGTCCTGCAGAGCTGTTGTTGTTAAATGCCGTCGAGTCGGTTCCAACTCATAGCGATCCTGTATAAGGTTTCCAAAGAGCGACTGGTGAGCTTGAACCGCCGACTTTGAGGTTCAAACCGACTCCAGCACATTAGCCCATAGCACCACACCAGGACACTAACACAATGGTATTGTGTTGTTGTTGTGGTTATGTGCCGTGGAGTCGGTTCCGACTCATAACGACCCTGTACAGGGTTTCCGAGGCTGTCAATCTTTATGGGAGCAGAAAGCTTCATCTTTCTCCCGCGGAGCAGCTGGTAGTTTCCAACTGCTGACCTTGTGGTTCACAGCCCGATTCGTAACCCCTACACTACCAGAACTCCTTAACACAATGGTATTGGTGATAGGATAATATCCATTAGCCTATAAGGAAGATTCATGGCACATAACCAACCAACCATAAGGAAGACCAGCTAATATGACTAATTTTCAAATTTAAAAACAAGAACACACCAACCACTAAGGCCTTATTTCTCGGAGATCTGAATGCACTGACTTTCAGAGGTTTTTAGGATGTTGCAGCTTCAGAATCCTTGTGTGTGTTGTCCCTGTCTGTATCATTCCTACCCTGCTTCATTGCCCAGTAGTTTCAAATCTCATCTTTGATGTCACTTCCTCAGAGAAAGCTTCTTTGATACCCCTAACTAGGATAGTTAACTGTTTCCATAGCTACCAGCAATTTTCCATCTTAATACTTTTGATGTTGTTGTTGTTGTTAAGTGCCGTCGAGTCGGTTCCGACCCATAGCGACCCTGTACAGGGTTTCCGAGGGTGTAAATCCTTACGGGAGTAGAAAGCCTCATCTTTCTCCCGCGGAGCGGCTGGTAGTTTCGAACCGCTGACCTTAAGGTTCGCAGCCCGATTCGTAACCACTACGCTACCAGAGCTCCTTTTGATACTAGCAATTATTCAGTCAGTAATCAATATCAAGAGCCTTTGACAGGCAAGGATGTAAGAACACATGCAAGATCCAAGGGAGGGGATATAAAAGTCAACGAATTAACATATCGGGTAACTTTAGCGATTCTTAACTCAATGTTATCCTCTTTGCTTGCAATGTAAACTCCATCTAGGGCAGGAAGAGTTTCTGTCTTAATTACCTCCGCTAGGTGCCCTGCTGAATTAACTCAGTAAAAAAATTTTTTCACTGACTTAAAATATGCACATAAAAGGCTGAAATGATAAATATAAATTAGGTTACCTCTGTAAATGGTTGAGTGTGGAGCCTTTTTATCTCTTTCAAAACTTTTTGTAAGGAAATTCATTCCATTTATAACTTTTTAAAAATTAAAAGAACAAAAAAACCGCCTTAGGTGTGCAAAAGGAGCTGGTAATAAAACCCACTGTGAAATACTCAGACGTGAGGCTAGAATTTCCTTGACGCATTACCAATAAACAACATTCTTATCAACGGAGAAAAGATTGAAATTGTCAAGGACTTCATTCTTCTTGGATCAACTATCAACTCTCATGGAAGCAGCAGTCAAAAAATCAAATGACGTATTGCATTAGGCAAATCTGCTGCACAAGACCTTTTTAATGTGTTGAAGAGCAAAGATGTCATCTTGAAGACTAAGATGCGCCTGACCCAATCCATGGTATTTTCAATAACCTCGTATGCATGCAAAAGCTGGACAGTGAATAAGGAAGACGGTAGAAGAATTGATGCCTTTGAGTTATGGTGCTGGAGGGAAATATTGAAAGGGCCATGGGCTGCCAAAAGAACCAATAGATCTGTTTTGGAAGAAGTGCAGCCAGAGTGCTCCTTACAGGACAAGATGGCCAAACTTCCTCTCTCATACTTAGGACATATTGTCAGGAAGGAGCTGTCGCTGGAGAAGAATATTATGTTTGGTAAGGTGGAGGGTCAGAGAAAAAGAGGAAGACCCCCAGTGAGATGGACTGGCCAAGTGGTAGCATTGATGGACTCAAGTGTGGCAACAGTAGTGAGGTTGGCCCAGGATTGGGCAGTTTCGTTCTGCTGTGCATAAGGTCGATATGGGTCGGTACTAACTCGATGGCAGCTAACAATAACAACAAATTACCAAATAGATTTCAGGCCCTTAACTGCATAATTCACCAAGGTTCTTAAAGCTATGGTCTTAAAGATATGATCCTCCATCCCCATTTTCTATCCTAAGAGTTTTAAAAGGTCCCTCCACCAATGGTGTGGCAGTGAAACAATGGCAAACCCACTTACGCACGTCGATGGTAAAAAAAAACACAAAACATACGCATTTTTTGCGAAGTCAATAAAGAACTCAAGATCTTACATACAGGTAACTAATTAGGCTAGGCAAAACCAGGCAGCTTTTAGGCTGGCCAAAATAGCATCCTGAGAGAACCCAACCCCCACGCAAGGTGCTTTAACTGCGTCTTTCTTTCCCAGACGCATGCGCAGCGCCCTCTCAAGCCGCTGCACGCCTCTTCCAGCGAGCGGAGAGAGCTCTTACGTCATCGTAAATGCAATGAGGAATCCTTCCGCTCCCCAAGAAAAACGAGTCCTTTCACCACTGACTTTTCTTTTTCCACAGTAAACGTCCGATCTTCCCTCCACTCAGTGCCATCCACAGCCCCATACAGACTCCAGCTGCTCACATTTTTTATGGACTCGTGTTTTCGTTGGACTGGGGAATCAGCAGAGTGGAAAGTGGGGGAGGGGATGATGAGCTGCCCGTTCAGTGTTGTTTACAAGGAGTGTGAGAAACAGGAATCGGTCCGCGAGGGCGGAGCCGAGACAGCCGGCACATTTTTCTGTCTTTCCCTCCCTCCCCAGCCTTCCCCGCGAGCGGACGCGGCAGCGCCTCTGTCTCGTTTTTTCTTATTTTTCCCCCTTTTCCCTTTCTTTTTTTTCTTTTCCTTTTCCCCCTCCCCCCCTTTCACCATTTCCCCTCGGAGGCGCATCCCCCGGGCAGGGGCAGAGCCGGTCTCCCCCTCCGTCTCTCCCCGGCCCCCGCCGCCCTATGGCGAGAGGGAACCCCCTTCCCACCCGGGCACAAGCGGCGGCGGCTGGAGGAGCGGGACTGGCGGTGGTGGCGGCGGCCACAGGTTTGGGGTCATCATGGAATTAATTCGCTGACCGACCCGACGACCCAGTAGCCGCAGCCGTGCATCCCGCTCGAGCCCCTGCGCCCGTGTTCCCCGGCCCGCTTCCCCCTCTTCTCCCTCCTCAATCGGCGTAGTCTTCTTCCCGCGCGCTCCGCCGCCGCGCGCAGAGAAAAATGAGGTGGTAACGGGCCTGCGGATGACCCCGCGTCACCACTGTGAGGCCTACAGCTCTGCCGGGGAGGAGGAGGAGGAGGAGGAAGAAGAGGAGGAGAAGGTGAGAGGGTGGGGCGGGGGACTCGACGGGACTCGGGGCTGCGCGCCGGCGCGCTCTACGTCTGCGCCCCCAGACTACCCCCGTCCCCGCCGCCTCCGGGGAAACCACCCGGCTAGCGCGCGCCCGGGCAGCCCCCCCCCCCCACAACCTCCTACTCCGGTGTAAGTCTTCGGGACGCCCCCTTCGGCCCCTCCTGCAGGAAGAGCCCAGCACTTGCTTGAAAACACTTTGCTTGTGTTTCCTTCTAGTCCCATTTTTTTGTTAGCGAGTAGCTTTAATTTTTTTGTAGCGGCGGCATCTTGCCTGCTTTATTACGGCCCTCCGTAATGCACAGGGAGGCATTCACACCCCCCTCAAAACTTTAACGTCCCGCGGGAGCCTAGGGAAGAGCCTTTACTCTAAGAGAGGAGGTGACCTGCGGGCATTCGGGGGAGGGGACCGGTACCCAGGATTTGGGTGGTTGTTACCGTTAAGACTCATAACGACCCTGGGTAGCGTTTCTCCGGAGCGGCTTATGGATTCGAACCGCCAACCTTGAGTTAGTACGATGCTTATCCTATAGCGCCACACGAGGACTCTACCAGCAGTCCAGCAGGTGGGAGAAAACACGGGAGATGGGATTAGAGTTAGGCCCGTACTGGTACATTGTTAAGTTTCGACTAGTCGGTATAGGGTTTCTGAGGAGCAGGTAGCGGGTTTGAACCTCCGAAGCTCCGACCTTGTGATTCACAGTCTAGTGCTTATCCTATAGCTCCATGCTAGGAGTCTTAAAGGGCAATTAAAAGATACCGAAATGTTGAAAGGAATGCAAAGGCGTCCTTTGTTGGTCTAGGGGTTACCTTCAGATCTTTTGATTGTTGAGGGGAAATTATCTGTAGATAGGATGGGATCAGATGTAAAGGTCTTTGAATGTCAGGCTAGAGTATTTAGATTTTATCTAGCTGTGGGGAGCCACTCCTTAGAGCAGGAGAATGGAACGTTATAGGATAGAAATAATAACACTTGTTGATGCCAAAATCTGTCAGGTACTGTTCAAAGAGGTTTACTGCTTATTTAATCCTGATGAGTCCTTGAGGCAGTTTATTGTTAAGTGCCACCGAGTCGATTCCAACCCATAAGGAACCTGTATAGGAGTTGCTGGTGAGCTTGAGCCACCGACCTTGCAGTTCAAACGGCTTTGCAGTCTGGTGCATTAACTCACAATGCCACACTGGGACTTCAGTTCATTTTACAGAGCATGATGGGAGGCTTCCAAGGTTTAAGTAACACATCTATGCCATGTGGTTTGTATCCCCAAATTTTTTGAGAATAACAGTAGTGTTACCTGCTTCTAGTTTTTTTATGTCAGTTGTGTCAGATGAAATAGAAAGGGATGGATACCCAGAGGTGAGATTCGGAGCCCATGGACTAGTACAGTATTGATTAAATAAAGACCAGCAGAGGACAATACCTGTGTTGGGAAAGTACAGTACAGGTGGCTTGGAGTTAAGATGTTAGTTCATGTGTCAGTGTGTCAGTGAAAAAAGTTAGACTGAAACTGTCAGTTTGTCTTGGTTAAGAATGAAGGCTGAAACTCTGTGCAAGTTTCATTCGGATTGTGTTGCACAAGTATTGACCTTTCTGTGCATCTTTCTTCACTCAAAAAAGGGCTTGATTCCTGGGTGGTGCAAATGGTTAAGCACTGAACTATTAACCAAAAGGTTGGCGGTTGACACCCACCCACAGGTGCCTTGGAAGTAGGGCTTGGCAAGCTGCTTCCAAAATGTCAATAGTCTCATAAAACCCTATGGATCAATTCTACTCTGCATGTGTGGGGTCACCATGAGTTAGAATCCACTTGATAACTGAAAGCAACAACAAAATAGACTTAACATAAACTTCACAGGGTTGTGTGAGAATGAAATAAATATGACACAATGAGACTGCGTATTGCAAGGTTAGCAGTTCAAACCCATCGGCCTCTCCTTGAAAACCGTGTGCGTTTCCACTGTGAGTAGAAGAGGACTCGACAGCAGTTGGTATGACGTAGTCTTGGTGTGGTGCTGTGGGCTAATGTGTCAGACTGCAAAGTCGTTTGAACTGCAAGGTCGGTGGTTCAAGCTTACCAGCTGCTCCTTGGAAACCCTATACAGGGTCGCTATGGGTTGGAATTGACTCGACAGCACTTACCAACAATATAAGCCACCACTCTTGTCAGTTTGTCTTACTCCTGTGGTAGCGTGCATGTTGCTGTGATGCTGAAAGCTATGCTACTTTAAATGCTAACTTTTGCATGTTCGTGGTGGACAAGTTTCAGTGGCACTTCACTAGACTAAGAGTAAGACGACGACTTTGGTGCTTCAGAATGGTTAGCCACTGGAAACCGTATGAATAGTAGTGGAACATAGATATAGTGCTGGAAGATGAACCGGCACTTTAGCTGACTGTTTTTGGAAGACACTCAAAATAGGGAATTGCTAATACCTCAAAGAGTTCACCATGACGTGAATGGAACAAAGTTTTGGTGACCTTTGCTGATGGGCACAGTGCAAAATGACAAGAAATAGCTGCAAACATTGATTAATTAATGGGGGGGGGGCTTTACAAACTGAATCTAGGAAAGTCATTAAAAATGAAATGGAATGCATAGGGATCTATAGCGTAGGCATTGTGAGCTGAAGTGGACTGGTACTGGCTATGAATCAGACAAATCATATGGTATACTATGCTGGGATCATCAAATTGAAAAGGAATGGTGGTGGATTCATCATCAAAAAGGGCATTTCAAAATCTATCTTGAAGTACAATGTTGTCTATGATAGAATACTATCTTCATGCCACCAAGTAAGAATACTAGTTAATACCACTATATTCAAATTTGCATAACAATTAAAGCCAGTGTTGAAATTTAAGCCTTCTACCAACTTCTTCAGCCTGAAATTGATGAAACATGCAATCAGGATGCTTTAATAAGTACTGGTGATTGGGATGCAAAAGTTGGAAGCAGGAAGGACCAGTAGTTGGAAAATATCGTCTTAGTGATAGAAACAATGCTGGAAATCTCAACGATAAATTTTGCTATACAAATAACTTGGTAATTGCAAATAGCATTTGAAATCAGCATACACATGGAACTTACCAGATAGAATATACAAGAATAAAGTTGATAGTATCTATAGGAAGGGTTGATGGAAAAGTTCAGTATCTGCTTAAGGGGGAGGGGACAGACTGAATAGATCATCAATTGCTCATATGCAAGTTTATGCTAAAGCTGAAGAAAATTAAAGCAAGTCCACAACAGCCAAAATTTGACCTTGAATATATGCCACCTGAATTTGTAGACCACCTCAAGAACAGATTCGATGTATTAGGCACTAATGACCGAAGACCAGAAGAATTGTGGGATAACATCAAAACCATCATACATGAAGAAAGCAAAAGGTCATTAATACAGAAAAGAAAGAAAAGATCAAAATGGGTGTTACAAGAGACTCTGAAACTTGCTCTTGAGCTTAGGGGAACTAGAGTGAATGGAAGAAATGGGGAAGTAAAAGAGCTGAACAGAAACTTCAAAGAGCAGCTCAAGAAGACATAGTCAAAAATCATAATGAAATGTCCAAAGCCCTGGAATTAGAAAAACTTAAAAGAACATACTCAGTATTGCTTAAGCTGAAAGAACAAAAATTCAAGCTTTGCTTTGTAATGTTGAATGATGGAGCAAGCATCAAAAAAAAGATGGAAGGAATGGTTGATGTTGAACTATTTCAAGAGGTAGCATATTATTAAGAACCAGTAGTACTAAATAAAGACATCTAAGCTATATGGAAAGCATTGGTGAGAAACCAAGGCTCCAGGAATTGATGAAGATACCAATAGAAATCTTTCAATAAATTGATGCAGCACTCGAGGTCCTCACTTATCTATTCCACAGATTTTGGAAGACGGCTACCTCACCCACCAATTGGAAGAGTTTCCTGTCTGTGCCCATTCCAAAGAAAGGTGACCCAGCAGAGTTTGGAATTCATCGAACAATGTAGTTACTATCACAAGCAAGTAAAATTTTGCTGAATATAATTTTTAAATGGCTGCAAGTGTACATTGACAGGGAACAGAAAATCAAGCCAGATTCAGAAGAGGACATGAAACTAGTGATATTAACGTTAACGTCATATGCATCTTGACTGAAAGCATAGAATACCAGAAAGATGATTACTTGTGCTTTATTGACTATTCAAAGGCTTTTGAGTTTGTGAATCATGACAAACTGGATAACATTGTAAAGA